CAGGGGAACGCGGCGGAGCCCCTCCTGCCGGCGCGGGAGCGGGCACAGCCCGGCGTGGCCGACAGGAGATGGTCAAGGCACTCATTGTTGCTCGTGGTTTTGTGGTGGTTTTTATTTTTCTTCCCCTAGAAAAAGAAAAAAAAAAAACCACAAACCAAACCCACCCCGACTCAGGAAGGTGGAGAGCGGCGCTCGCCGCAACCCGCGTCCGCGTCCTGGGGTTCGGGGTTGGCCGTGGCGGTCGCAGGTCGCTTCTACCAAAACCCACCCCAAAACTCAGGGGTTTAAAGCCCTGCGGACAGCACAGATGGAATTTCCCCAGCCCAGGGGATGCTTCGTGCCTGCTCCGGCTGACCCAAACCCTCGTGTTTCACGACTGCGGAGAGAAAACCTCAAAAAGGAAAAGAAAAAAAAAAGAGAAGAAAACCCTGAAAAACAACCAAACTGAAGCAGAGAAACAGGTAAGAGGCTGCTACAGAAAAGCCAGATACAAAACGGTAAAAAATACCTCCAACCCCCCCCCAAAATACCCCTATGGTGATTGTTCCGCTGATAACTATTGCAACCGGGCGGTGCGGGCAGGGCTTCCCCCCGGCCGGGCTCTGCCCCCGCAGCCCCTGCCCCACTGCGGGCACCGTGGGGCTCGTGCCACCACGCCGGGCACCCACCGCCCTCACCGACTTGCCATGATTGCCTTTTTTTTTGAGCTTTCCAGCATCTCCTAAAAAAAAAAAAAAACAAAAAAAACCCCAAAACACCAAACCCCCCAAAATCCTACCCGCCTGATTGACCCAGCAAAAGTGGTTTTAGTGATGCCTCTGGGGAGGCAGTTTCCTTCTGTGTCTCCCCGTCCCGTGTCCCGGGGCAACCTCTCCTGCCCAAAAAGCCTCAGGGACCCCCGAGGGGTCCGGCAAAGCTCCGGGGACCACCCTCACAAACGGAGCAAAGACTTTGGGATTTCAGCTTCTCACCAGAGCTGTCTGTTTATAGCGACGCAAAAGCCAAAAGCGCGGTTCGCTCCCCCACTAAAGCGAGCTCTAATCTGGTTTTTGCCCAGCTTGAAAACAAAGGGAAATCTCGTCCCCTTCCGTCTGGCGAGGCCGGACCGGCTGCCGCATCCCGCATTCCCCGAGCATCCCGCCCGGCCGGAGGGACCGGGCTGCCGTTCCCGTGGATTTCTTAGCTGCCTTTTGCCCAGTTGCTCCCAAAATCCATCCTACCTATCCTCAAATCCTCAGGTAGAGGAGCGGGGATGCCCGGCCCCTATTTTGGGGTTCCTCTCCATCCCCCAGCCCGGCTGTGCTGTCGGCGATGGTCGGCATCCCGCAGCCGCCGGCTCCCCACGATGGTCCACACGCAACCGCACCGAGACCTGGCTGTGTGCCGGAGCCTTCCCCGGCGGAGCGACGGCAGCAGCCACCCCAGGTGGGTTTAAAAAAAAATAATTATATATATATATC